TCCTCCCCCTTCCCAAGTGCTTCCCCTCCATTCATGAAGCAACCTCACAAACAATGCCACGGCTAGCTGTGTACGGTCAGTCCCAGGCTGCCCTAGGAGCACCAGTTCCTGGACCCTCCCATCGACCCCCGGGTCAACCCCCGCATTGGCAAGCCAAGCATTCCACTCCCTTTGGGAAGAGGTGGAAACTAGGCCAGAGAGCTTCAAAGACTAGCCCATTCAGGTGACACCCAAACTCTGGCCCCTCCCTGGCCACCTCCCAGCTGGCTTCCTCCCTCAAGCCCTCCCCAATACCCCAGGCCATTTGAAAGGCGGCAGATGATGGCATGGAGGTGGTGCGAAGAGTGCTGGCCCTGCCCACTCTGCCTCCCCTCCTGGCCTCCTCAACCTGGATGCAGAGCCCTTCCCCAAGGAAGGACAAGACCCCACCACGTGGCCTCCAGAGAACTGCACTGAGCAAAAAGCCAGTCCCCAAGGTGGCACGCTGCATAACTCCATTAACAGGCTTTCCTGAAATGACAAAAGTATAGAAACAGAGAAGAGATTTGGGGAGGGGTGCGTAGGGAGGCGGGCACAGTCACGAAAGGGTAGCGTGAGGGTCCTGTGACACAAGGGTCTGTACATTGACCGTATCCATGCCAGGATCCTGGTTCTAAGACTGTCCCTCAGTTTCGTAGGATATGAACTTGTTGGAAATTGATAATGGGTACAGGGCTCCATTGTTCTCACAACTGCATGTGGTGCTAAGAGCTTGAAAATACAAGCTTAATAAAAGGAAAAGAAGGAGAGAGGGTGGGTGGGTAGGCACTGCACAGGCCAAAGAGGCAAACCTGCTCTTCCTTCCACTGTCGGAACCCAGAGGTGACACGTAAGAAAAAGAAGGACTTGCACACCCTAAGACAATCCTGATCAGACACCCAAGATCCTGGAAAAACACTGACACAACAATAAATTTAAAACTTTTGTGTTTCCAGACTAAAATCAAGTTTGTGGAAATAGGACATGCCTTAATTTGATTTTTCTGAAACTCTAGTGAATGGAGATGCCTGCATATCAATTTGTTTATGATTAAATCTAATTTCTCTCCCAAAGTAGCAGCTTGCTTGCTACTCTAGATAACAGAAACAATCTCTCTGGCACTTCCAAATTTCTTCTGGCATTACACTATCCCTAACAACGATCAGTGATCATCACTCAGCCACCGTGACCACAGACACATCATGCTCCCCACACAGAGCAGACAGATGTGACTTCCCCCCAATCCAGGGGCAAAACACACATTAGGAAATCAACTTTCGAAGGAAATCACTTTACCAGCCACTGTGATGGCTAAATCCAAACAGGAAGTCGCTGGCTACTATACTGCTAAACTCTGTGCTTTATTAAATTTAAAAAAAAAAATTAGTGAAAGTGTTGCTTTCATTGAGTAGCTGGCACATCTCAAGCACGGGCTCTGCCACCCTATCTCACTTGAGTCCTCCCCAGTCTGGAGTAGGCAGACTTAGATCCACTTCACAGATGAGCAACCGCAGGTGAAGGAAGGGCGAACAATTTGCTCAGGGGTTGCAGAATGAGTAAATGCCAGGACTTCACCACGACTGTGGTACTGAGGCCCCGTCCCCTGCTGGAGAGCTTACTTGGAAGAGGCCAGATGACAAACACTGGGTTCATTATCTCCAATCAACCTAATAACGGAGCTCAAGGGCAGCAGAGATCCTACCCAGGCTGCCCTCCTCCCTTCTGCCTCTGTCTTCTGCTGCTGCCTTACAAAGTACCACAAGCTGAGCAGCCCAAGATCACACTTCCGCAGGTCAGATGCCCAGGGGTTCAGGCTCCAGGTCCCAAATCCAGGCACTGGCCAGCAGCTCTTATCAGGAGGCACTGGGAGGAGGTATTTCCAAGCTCATTCAAGGTGCTGGCCGAATCCATTCTTTGTGATTGGACTGAAGTCCCATTTCCTGGCTGGTGGTCAGCCAGGGGCCACCCTCAGCTCCTGAGGCCTCCTTCTGGTCCTTGCAAGTGAGTTCCTACATCTGAGAGCAGCAACTGCCCCCTCCAAGGCATCCCAGGCTTGGAGTCTCACTGCCCCTCCTGTAGCAATCCTCCACTCACTCCCTCTCCATGACCACCCAGCCAAGGACCCTGGGGCTTGTGAAGAGCCAGGATGGTCTCTCCCCATCCAAAGCTGAAACCTTGATCACATCCACAGAGACCATTTTGCCATGTATCAGATCATATTGAGGGTCTAGAAGTTGCGGACATCTGTAGAGCCACTATCCTGCCTTCCATACCCTCTCTGTGCTCAGGTGTACCTCCAGGACATTCTGTATCTATTCATTTAATCTAAGGAAGACGATTCAGAAGAACTTCATCTTACTGGTATCAGAACATGCAACCCTGCTGAGCTACGTACGAGGTGATGGAAAAACATCATCTGACCCACCCCTCAGTGTGACAGCCACGACAAGGTTTATGCTTGCATTAATAAGCCAGGTCCCTAAACATGGCCGGCCACACTCAGACCCAAGGTGGAGGAGGGGCAGAGTCAGCAGGTAAGTTTCAGCCCCCCTTGGGATAAATTCCCGCCCAGCTTTTCTTGCTGGAGCCACAAATCTGGGGTATTTACTTTTTTCTCGATTTTACAAAACAAATAAATAACTGAAGTGTCTCATTTGCAAACAATGCTCCTACCAGATTCCAAGTACTTGCAAACAATGAGCTGTGATTCATGTTTCCAAATGAGATGGAGTTTTATCATTTTCTTTCCCCTCGTGATTCATTCATGGGCCAAGTGGCCTAAGTGGAAGCATGGCCCACCCACCAGAGCCCCAGGAGGGAAACACAGCCCTGTTGTTAGGCTCCCAAAAAGAAATGCAGAGGTTGCTAACTCATTCTCCCTTAGACACCTACTGAGAACAGATCCCTGCATCTCAGGGCCAACACCCTTCCCACCTGCACCTGTCCTGAGAACCAACACGTGAACTCCCATGCGAGAGGGAGCCTGGAAAGAATCCAGGGATGCCATCCGTCCATGGGCTGATCCTCAGCTCCCACCCTCCCCGACAGGCGCTGATCCTAAAAGTCTTCCAGAGGCTGTCTTGTTACTCCCAACCAGCTCAGCTGGTTTATGTCCCCACTCTGGTGAAGGGAAACACAAACCCACCCTCTCCTCCACTGGACAGTCATTCACATTCCTTGCTAGAATTTCCGGGCAACATCTCATATACTTTTCTCTTGGGGAACTTTCCAATGCAGGGTTTTCTGAAAATCAAGGTGTGAGCGAGAGGTCTGATGTTAGAAGCCTCAACCCCGAGTGCTGGAGGATCTTCTGGAAGGCATGTGACTTAACTGGGAAGGGCACAGCCAGGTTCTGGTCCACTGCTGGTCTAATCCGGGAGTGCTCCCCTGGGTCTTCTCTAGATGGTCAAGACACACTACAGGGTGCTCACCAACACCACCCAGGTTGCCCCCAGAGATCACAGAGAATACCAAGGTTTCTTTCAAAATGTGATGTCCCAAAGAGAAGGCCCTGCCTGCCCCATGAGCACAGGACATGTTGGCAGATAGAGCATAGCAGGAGTGAGTGTGAACACCCAGGGACTAGGGTTCCAGTCCAGAACCTGTGGAGTACGAGTACTGGTGGTGTAAGGCAGGGCAAGCAATCCCCACAGCAGGACTGTCACCACAACCTGAAGCTCTCTCAGTTGGACTCTCCATCTCAAACCTCCTCCCTTATATGCAGACTGAGAGGGCCCAGGTTGCTGGTTACACCTTGGTCCATGCCGAAACCCTAGCTCCTGAGCGCACCTTCGGGATGACTATGCCTCAGTACTAAAGCAAGGAGACCCCACAAACCCCAAAGGCAGAACAAGCTGCCAGTGGGCCCAGAGGGGACAAAGGTTTTCCCAGGACTGTTCCATGGCCACCACCTAGGGTCACCTAACAGAAACACCTGGAGTTCAAAGAAAGGAGCAAGCCCTGAGAACAAGGGCAGAGGAGCAAGGATGGGTGGGAAGACTTGAAGCAGCGTGCAGAGGGTGGGCAGAGGCTCCTGGGGCAGAGCTGCCGTGACAGGGCACCTTGGAGGGCACCCTGGACGGGAGGGCACCCTGGACCTGGACCGAAGGGCAAGCTCCCAAGGGGCCTGCATGTCAGGCTCATGTGGCCGGGTGAGGGAGCCGGGTAAGGACCCTGCGGGTGGTGTGGCAGGAGGCAAGGGAGACTGGAAGATCCCGGGATCCTTGGGAGCCGGGCGAGGCGCTGCACGAGGGGGCGAGCCGCGAGCGGGCAGGAACCCGCAGGCCTCGGCAGGCCTGGGGCAGCGCGGCGCGCAGGGCGCAGAGCAGCAGGCTGAGGGGTCGGTTTGTTTTGCCACCGGGAAAGGCGCGCTTTCAGGAATGTGTACTCGGGTCGCAACACAAACTTGCAACCCGACTCCCTCCAACCGCCTCAGGAAACGACAAAGAAGAGCCGGGCAGAACCAGGTCCCCGCTCTCGCTAACCGGTCTCCAGCCCGAGGGTCGCCCCCTGGCCGGGGCAGGACCACCCAACAGCACGCAGGGGCGATCCGCCAGCGCGGGCGGCGCGGCCCCTCCCCGCTGGGGAAGAAAAGTCTAAGTTTCGAGCGCTGAGACCTGAATCTGCCCATCGCGAGCCCCAGACGCCCAAGTTCGCCAAAGAGGCGGAAAAGCACGAAAACAATGACCCCGGTTCCCCGCGCGGGCCCAGCGCAGCGGAGCGGGAGTGGGGCAGCCCGGGCCCCTGGAAGCTCCGCCGCCGCGGCGCGGGGATCCGCTGTCGCGGGAGCCCGCGGGGAGCGGCGCGCCCACCCCCGCCCTGCGCGCCCCGGCGGACGGTCGCGGACCGGGGGCGCGGGCCGGGGCGCGGGCGGGACGCCCCGGGAGCGCCGCCTCCGCCCCGCCGCGGCCGGCAACAGGCTCCACGGCGCCGCCCGCCCGCCCGCCGCGGCCGGGAAGGGGGCGCGGGCCGGCGCTGCTCACCCACGCCGTATTTCTCCTCCCGCTTGGTGGGCACCCAGCGCGTCATGGTGCCGCGCGCCCCGCGCCGCCGGGAGCCGCAGCCGCTCGCGCAGGAAACTCCGCGCCTAGGCCGCCATTTTCCATCCCTCCGAGCCGCGACAGGATGGGGAGGAAAAAGTTTGCAGCGGAGGCGGTGTCATGTGGGACGGGGCGGGCGGAGCGTCGCGGGCCGGATGGGAAAGGCCGGGAGCGCCGGCGAGAGGCGGGACGGCCGCGGGCTGCACGCCCGCCCCGCTGGCCCCGATCGCCCGCCCGGCCCGCAGCCCCCGGCCCGCAGCCCCCAGCCCGTGGCCGCCGCGTGGAGCATATGGGGCCCCGCGGGTGGCGACGTCTTGTTCTCCGCGGTTCCCCGCGTCCCCGCAGCCCTCCGGCCCATCTTGTCCATGACAGGGGCGCGCCCTCGGAGTAGGGGGCGAGCCTGCGGGGCACTGCGCGGCCGGGCCAGTCTGGGGCTGTGCTGGCCTTGGTGGAGAGCCCAGGAGCAGAACCCCGAGGGCCCCGGAGGGCCTTCCGGAGCACGGGGTCCATTCATTCGCGGGACTAGCGTGAAGTGAACGCCTGCCTCTGTGTCCAGTGCTAGGAACGCCAGGCCGGCCAGCGACCAGGTCAGTGAGTGGGCAAGGACCTCCCAGGGAAGGAAGAGGGTGCTTCAAGCTCGGGCTTGAGCCCTGAATGAGGGGAGCAAGCCACCCGGAGGCCTCAGCCGCCCCCCACCCCACCCCCGGCCTGCTGAAGTGCCAAGAGAGGAAGTGGGAAGACAGCCAAGCCCAAGGGGCAGCAGGAGCCCCAGGATCCTCACGTCTTCGCTGCAGGAGAGCTGTCCTGCTGTTCCCCACGCGGAAGTGGACACCTCCCGATCTCCAGGGAAAATGTTTACACACACCTATTTATTTTCACCAAAACCATAAAGAATTGGTTAAAGCCAGGCTGGGGCTGTAGCTCAGTGGTAGAGCACTTGCCTCGCAGGTGTGAGACCCTGGGTCCGACCCTCAACACCACAAAAAGATAAATAAATAAAGATTTTAAAAAAGAAGAAGAAGAATAGGTTAAAGCCAAGAAAAGGAGGAAGCCGTGGCCTGGTGAAGGGCCTGGTGGGATGGGGTAGCCTGGTTTTGTGGAGAGTTCAAAGGGTGCCCTCTCCACCATTCCCCCAGGAATCAGTGACTAGGCACAACCTCCAGGGATTGAGGAACAGGGTGTATGAAAGGCTCCCTGGGTGGGGACTGGTGACAGAGATGCCAGGGTGGGGAGTCGGCTCGGCCACCTGGCCACTGTAGAGAAAGCACATCACTGCCCAGCAGGGCCACCTGAGCCAGAGCAGTCAGCAGTCCACCCAGATGCAGCTCAAAGAAACATCTGGAATGGCCAGGAACCTTTGCCTGAGAAGGAACTTGCCGTCTGCAAGAGGATGACATGGGAAGTGAGAGTTCTGGTAACTCAGCCACAGATTCGTAGAAAGCTCAGGCCTGTTTTACTGATAAGGAACTTAACTCTGGCAGGGGGAAGCAGCCAGGGCTCACATGCCACTCAGCGTCACTCATCCACTTTGAGCCTTCTTTCTCTGGAAATCAGAGACTCAGGCGCCCAGACCCTGGGGGAGTAATCCAGTGACTCAAACCTTGGAAGGAGAAGCAGCTGTGAAGGTGCTAGACAGGAGAAGCCGATGCTCCCAGATGAATGGCACAGTGGCCTGACTTGCTTTTGATCAGGAAAGGCTTTCCTGAGAAAACTCCCTAAGCCCAGACTGAAGATAAACAAAAACCAGCTAGGTGAACTGGAGGAGGAACCACATGTGCAAAGGCCCTGGGGTGGGAAGACACACAAAGCCTTCAAGGAACTGAACCGCTGGTATGGATGAACATGGGGAACAACAGGAAATAACAGTGTTGTTATTGGAGAGGGAGAGAACTTCTCTGTCTTACTAGGAGTTTGGAATTCTGCAGAGATAACCAGGAGGACAGATTTCAGTGACAATTAACATTCTCTTCTATGCCCCCTTTCAGTTCTGAACATGGCATGTTATTGTGAAAGACCTGAAACTCACACGCTCTGGGGAGGCCAGCCTTGCCGAGGCCTCCTGTTTCTGGCCATCTGCCTGATTCTCAACCTGAGGTGCTCATTCTCTTACATCTCCTACACATAAACCAGAAGCAGTCACACCAGCTTCACAATCACCGAGGACCTCAGAGGGCACGGCTGCATGTCGGCAGCCTACCTAGGGCCGGACCCTCCCTCCGGGTCGGTATGGTGAAGAAAGGGCTCACATTTCTCAACAGTTGCTACTTTCACTCTGATATAAATATATTATAAATCAGGATTTTAAAACTCGAGGTGACCGTGGACCCTGTAGGTGAGACAGTGTGCTCTGGCCCCACGATGGCCGTGTGTGCCCAGGTATGGCTGGGACGTCGTGCCTGCGGCTGCAGCCCAGAAGCTCTGAGGAGATCCGCTGGTGTCCCCTGCCTGGCTTGGGCAGTGTCTCATCTTGCAGCTTTAAACTTGGGTCCGTGATTCTGACTGCCTGGCCTGTGGTTATATGAGATCAGGACTGGCCCACCAGTTGTGGCCAGTGGGCATTCTGAACTCCTGGGTTGACCTGACCAGGGTGCAGGTCTCAACCACACCTGCTCGGCACTGCGCCTATGCCAGCTGCCTCCAAGGACTTCAAGGCTCGTAGAGCCAGAGAGAGCCAGTCTGAATCTTGTGCAACCTCAGGGTCACAAGCCGAACACACACCACCCGAGAATGCTGGGGCTACAGTGACCCAGTCCTAACCATCAGTGTAAATTCAGACTAGTGACCCCTCACAATGTATGGCAGAATCAATCATGTCACAATATTACTGTAGTTTTAGATCTTGACAGGTTTTTACTTGAAATATTTTTATACCTTCACCATGTGCAAACTCAGGAGGTAAATGGAGCAAAAGCTTCTCCTGGTGAAATAACCAGCACCAGGATTCAGGGGCCCTGTTGAGGGAGCCGATGAGAACCAGGCAGGGTGTGAGGATTTTGTGCACAAAGGGGCTGGAGCAGATTGCTTGTCATCTGATATCTGCCCCTTGACCCAGGGGCAGAGCTGGGCGTCATATCATCAGATGAGCAGACATGGGGTCACAATGCCCAGTGACACACAGCTCAGAGGTATATAATCCTGACTTCGGACTTGTCTTCCAATATCAAAAATAGAGGAGAAAGAAAGGAGTTAAGAGATGCCAGGAGGGACTGGTCAGTGGGAAGGCGGGATCCCATCAGACCCTGCCCAGGGCTTTTCAAGAAATCAGTATTATGGGGCATGGGGTAGCCAGGGAAGAACTGCTGTGGGTTCTAAAGGACAAAAGAAACAGGGCAATGTTGGAATGCACTGTTTCGGGGGCTGTGTTGTAGCTCAGCCCTTGCCTCGCCTGCACAAAGCCCTAAGTTCCGTTCCCAGCCCTGCAAAAGAAACAGTGTTCAGCCCTGGACTGGAGCTGCTTCTACGCATCAATTCTAAAAGGTGTTGTGGACAGGAGGGAATTTGAACTATGGACCAGGTTTCGATTGTATTAGCTATTTACTTCGTCAGGTGTGAAATCATACTATTGTTGTTGTTAGATGGAGAAGGTCCTTATGTTTCAGTAACAGGCTGGAGCATTTAGAAGTGAACTGTGTGGCGTTTGTCATCTCCTTTGAAGTAAAAGGAGAGGGGAAAGTGTTCACTGCAGGTGATGGTCTATGAGCGTGCCATCTCTACTTTTTCTATGTCTGCCATTGTTTATAAAGTCAGGGCGAAGCGGGAAAGAAGCTTGAGATTCACGCCTGGCCAGGAAGACGGCTGCTGGACTGGCCTCATGTTCAGGGCCCCGGCTTTGCTCCGCACCCAGGTGTGTGCTCAGCATTCTCTGCCGTTATTAAGGCAGGGCCGGGGCATCCAACGTCAGCCGGTTCCGTGAGCTGCTCCGTGGGGGACACTGTGTGCTGCTCCAGTGTGCCTTGTGGGCCAACGTGACAGTGAATATAAATGCAGACCAAGCTGTCCCTACCACCAGGACACAGAGCAATGAGCCTGGAGCTGGGGCCAGGCAGCTGCAAGAGGAGTCCCTGGAATTGAAGCATCTGAATCTGGGTTGTGAGCCTCGGCCCTGGGCCTCAGGGCCCTCGACCGTGCTGGGAGGGTCAGGCATGTGAGCACGACCTTGATAGCTGCCCGATTCTGGGAAAGCTCCCTGGACACTCTGCCCTCGTTTTTAACATAGCGTGACTGCTAGGGGGCTGTTATGAGGATCTTATGAAATGATGTCAAGGACTTGGCCCGGGGACTCCAGATTTTCCATTTTGGATATCAGGTGGTGCAGGACTTCAATCCCCAAAAGGAGGGGAGCATGAGGTGCACCCGCAGCTGCCCAGCTTGCTCCATGGAAGCAGTGTCTGGGCTGCAGCCCGGGACAGGCAGCAGTTGAACCCTGGGTCTCCCAGTAAAGAGATATGGAGTGCAGAGAAGCCAAGGCCACTGGGAGGTGCAGGCCAGAGTCCCAGGACGAGGATGTGCTACAGGGCCTGGGATCTGCAGAAGATTCTGAGGAAGAGGGACATGTGTGCACAGTGAAGCTCCTGAGGCCAGCAGCTGCAGGGACACCAGAGGAGCCGGCCCGAATAGCTCCCTGGGCTCCAGCAGTAGTTTGGGTTCCCCACGGTCCCCGTGGGAAGTCCTCCTCATACACAGGGTGTCAGGCAAGTTCTTTGAAGGGTGACACCTTCCCAGCAAGGCTGAGGTAGCCCGAAACCCAGAGCTGCTCTGGGAAATAATAAAACTTAGAAGAAAAGCTCAAGAGAATGAAGCTGAGCCCAAGGAACTTCACTGCCTGTAGGAACAAAGTCCAGGCTGTCAAAGAACACAGTGAAATCCAGCACCGGGCAACGTCCAGTCCAGTTCATAGTGTCCAGCGTCTAGTCGGAAGTCGCCAGCCACGTGAAGACGCAGGAAAGTCCAGCCCTCGACCAGTCGGTAGACACAGTCCTGCGAGTGACAGGGATAGTGAAACTAGTGTCATAAGTATGCTCTATGTGCCCCAAAGATACAGGAAATGAGGAGCATAATGAAGAAAGACGTGGAAAGAAGTCACAGCC